GAGAGCCCACGTAACCCATCATGTACAATATCACCACCTTCTGATGCTGCTTTGTAGTGAGACAGAAGATCAAACTTAAGAGTTCTTTACTTACTGAGAAAGACAGTATATACCCCAAATACAGATATGCAAACCTGTCAATGTATTTCTTGTAAAAACATAACTAGCCATTTTTCTGTTTATACTCTGCTATATTGAAACCACTGTAACACTTCCACTGTCAGGAAGGACTGCTTGGATAGTCAGGGTTGATCTGCAGAGCAGTCCTAAATAAAATTGCTAGTCTGTACCAGGACTGAGCCAAAATCACTTTAAGAAGAGTTTCTTCTGTGTTTCATAATGCAACAGACAATAAGAGAAACCGAGAAATGTAAAATCTTCACTGACAAGAATCTGGAGACTACATACAATCTGCAGAACTGGTTAGTAAGGAAAAAGACAAGGTACCTCAAGTTACACACCTGCTAATGTCCTCCAGGTAGAGGGGGCAGAGGGAACAAGAAAGTCCTGATGTCATCTGAATGGTGGCAAGGTAGTGGTCCTCTTCCAGTGCTGCTGGACTGGGTGCTGGCACCATATCCCCAGGGTCCTCTGGTCAGATTGCTGCCCTCACACAGCAGGGAGCAGTAGGAATGATTGCAGAAGGCCTCGGCTAAAGCTGTTCTTCAGCCTCCTGCTCCTTCTCTTTATAAGGAATAGGAAGGGAGCAGATGCCCTGTATCCAGTCATCTCCTAGTTCTTTTAATTGCGTACCACACACATGCACACATGAACACATATTTCCATGTTGTCAACTTTTTCTGCTGTTGCAACTGGAGATAAAATTACAATGAGATAAAATTATAATGAAAAAGCTGTCTAGAAGCCATTCCAGTATTGTAAAACAAGTCCCCTTTATTTTATTAATTAATAAATAATTATGTATTTGCAAATACAGTTGCATTAATGGATCGTGCTGATGACAATACATTTTCTTGAAAAGATGACTTAGGAAGGCACTAAACAGCCAAGGAGGAGTAGATAAAAATCCATGCATGTAGGCCACTTCAATTAAACTGCACTCTAAAACAAAAGCAGCATTTTGCATGAGGAAATTTGAGTTCTTGGAACAGAACCATGACTGTGGGATGGCAGTATAAATCTGCCATGTGACACTGGACTGGAAGGTGTTGCAGATGTCCCAGAAGGAGAAAGAGGTTCAAAGGGAGGCAGTTCTGGCCCAAGAGCCAAAGACTAAGTAAGCCAGGTTTGGTCTCAGTCACATCTGCCAGGGAAGAACCACTGCCGTAAATGAGCCTCAGGGCATCCAGAAATGTGCAGGAAAATGGAGTAGTGAAAGCAGTGGTCCTCTGTTCCCTTCAGCCTGCTGTGCTTCTGTGAATGCAAAGAGCCTACAGTGTTTTTCAGTACAAACCATTGGCTGCTGGCAAGGCAGAAACCATCCTAACTTGCCTCAACACCTCTTTAACCGATGATTTAATGTCACTGTCAGTCACATCACAAAACTGTGCTTTCCTACAATTGCTTTCATGACTATTGCACATTTCCCATAGTCTCCCCACCTCTAAAAGAAAAAAGTAATTCACTGTCATGTTTTCCTAATAATGACCTCTTACATCCTAGTTTCCTACAGCAGCAATAGGAAAAAAAACAACAAACAAAACCAAATAAACACAAACAGAAAAGGGTATGGGAAGAAAAATACTTGTTAATTTAAAGCTCAAAAATTTTGTGTTCACAACCACAGGCATTACTGCTGTCTTATACTGGTATGCAAATGGCAGTTTTATAGGTATATTACATACATATATATATAGGTAGGTAGGTATGTATGTATATATATGGTTGTTTATGTGTGTTTGTAGCACACACATTCCTACAGCTTGGCAAGCAGTTGGCCAACAGCATGGTCTAGGCCAGAGTCAAGTTTGCTAATGATTTCCTATTCAAATGGAGTCAATACCAGGCTGGGACCTAGAGTAACACTTTTTTATAATATCATTTACTCCCTGTGTCAAAGTGCTCCAGGGAAATCTCTGGACACATGATGAGAAACACTTTTGTATTTGTTTTCAAACATCCCCAGTTCCATTTATTTAATTTACTTACAAATCCTCTACATCAAAACTCCCTCTGGGGCATGAGCGTGTTTGGAGACATGGTCTGTTGCGAGTGCAACTCTTTGAAGGTAACAGAAAGTATTGGCCAAAATAAGTAATTCCTACTTGAAACGTATTAGGTATCCAAGTTAGGACTGGCTCCTTTTCAGATGCCCATGTTTCAGTTTGCCTTCACAGGGGATTTAAAAAAATGCAGTTGTATATTTTGCTTATCAAGTTATTATTTCTTTTTTATCTCTGCATGGATACTTTGTATCTGCAATGTCCCTTTGGAAAGCATGTTAATTTTATTCTGTCCTCTGCAAGTGTGCCTACTTCTGGACTTGTGGCTGTTACAGGCATTTACATGTGTAACTGGCAAAACAAAAAAAATGGTTTTTGCACTCTGCTAGGCTTTCAGATTACATAGGTTCTGTCTAAACATACTGTGGAAAACTTTAACTGATCTACTTATCTACATTTTAACATGTAGATGACATTCTGCTTCATTCCGGATAGGCATGCTGCAACAGCAACAAAGAAGTTCAACATTGATGGCACTATGGCAGTTTAGCAAAGTATTTGTGACAAAAAAAAAAAATAAAAAAAATTAAAAGATTCATAACACGTGTCATTTCCCTTAATTTAACAACTTGAGAACTCATCTTTGTTCCTAAAACACTATTGTTTTTATTTTTAATTTCTTTCAAAATTATTCCCTTTCAGAGGGAGACTGCATTATCTGAGTTCCAAGCCAAAATTGGTTAAAAAATGTTAATGTTTGTAAAATAATGTTTGTATAATTGTAAAATAATGTTTGTAATAGGATAATTCAGGCTGCAAGAGATCTCAGAAGGTACCTGGATGAACTTCCTGCTCAAGGAGGGACAGGTCTGAGGCCAGCCCAGGTTGTTCATAGCTTTGAAAACTTCAAAAAGTGGAGACTGAACAGTAAATGTTTGTTCAAATATGGGTATTTAGCTGAATGTACTAGAAACCCAAACCAAAACAAACTAAACCTTCTCCATTTATACCCCACATCTCTGTTGCAACCAGCCCTGCCAAATCACAAAATGGCATATTTGACAATACTTCAAAATAGGTAAAACAGACTTTAAAAAAGCATTAAAGGCCAAATCTAAACCCCAGTGAAATCAATGAAGAGATGCCTTTAGTGTCTGTCTAGCAGCTCAGTGGGAAATATTTTAGCAATTAGCTCTGATGAAAGGAGGTGTCTGATGGGCTCAGCACAGCTTCTGAACAGACGACTTTTCTCAGGGATGGTGGAAGGCTGAGAGCTGACTTCAGGTTAGGGAAGAAGATGAAACACCAAACACTGGTTGGTGTCCTGAGAGCAGTCTCGGCTGTGGGAAATGAAGAATTTACTGAAGAAAACTTCTATAATAAATCTAAAACTGGGAGAGCAGAGCAGTGCCTGTGTTACATGTTCATATTGTATTTATTAGCAAAAGGCCTGATTCCACCCTTTCTTTTCAAGAAGTGAAGAGTCACCTCACTGAAAACAATCCTGTAAAAGTAGCCTGAGATGTGAATCAGGCTGAAAGTCACTAGTATAATTCCTCCTTAGAGCTCCTGCACTTCAGTTTTAGTTGGGGAAAGCAGCATGAAAATGAGACAGAGAAAAAGGAAACTAGTACTCCAAATATAGATATTTATAAGCAGGTATATCACATAATTATTTTTTTTTTTTTCACTAAGGTTCTCTCATTATGTATTATGATAAAAAAGAGCTTACACAAGGATGAATAATATTTTGATACAGATCTTTCAAAGAAAAGTGATAAACCAAAGAAGCACTTTCCTATAAATTAATATTTTGTGTGTTTTATATCTCTCCCATTTTTTTATTTTACTTGTTGTTGTTTTTTGTGTTTTGTTTCTGTTTTGTTGGGTTTTTTTTTCCTTTAAATCTCAGAATTCACAAAACCAAAATTAGATATAAGGTTTTCCAGGTTTTAAAAGTTAGTGCTCTATTTCAGTGGGATCCTGAAAACAAAACAACCAAAAAAAGCACTTAAATTGTAATAAGCAAAGGTCTTCTCACCTGAACAAAACATTAAACACTGTTATGGGATTTCATTCAACCTTGCTCCTAACAGAAATATTTCAGGCCAAATATCAATGTACTTGGTTTTAAGCTGCATTATAAATAATCCCTGATCCTAAGAAAAGTTATTTGGAGGTTATCAAGGAATATAAAGAATTCAGCAGCATGTTAGTGGACACTGCAAAAGTATATGAGAAGTCTAGAGAAGCTGCAACTGTATTCTATTTGTTTATAAAGGGTTTTTGGCATGACTGTTGTATTGTGCAGCCAGCATACAATCTTCTTGTCAATAACATCTGGGCAATAAATGTGTACAAAAAAAAAGAGTCTTGGGTTTCTGGCTTATTTGTAGCCACATGCTTTCTACTTGTCAGTATAGCTCAAAGGCAGTGAGAAAACTTCAGTAGATGCAGCATCTGCCCTAGTCCTCATAGGATGGACAGAATGGTCTTACACCTTTTACTTTGTGTCATAGATGATGCAACACATCTGGGTAAAAGGATACTTCCTTTGGCAATCCCAGCCATCATAATGGCAAAGCAGCAGCAGCAGCAAGTAGTGGCTTCATACTGTTGTATTTATTTGTTTAGCTGGCATTGCCCCTTCATCTCACTGACAATTTGGTGCTTTCCCAGTTTCACACTTCTTCAGAGTTATCATCACCTTGCATCTTTCAACATGGCCCGTTTTCATTTTCCTTTCTACGCAAATCACAATGAGATTCAGACATAAAAGTGTTGTACAAACATCAAATCTGCATGTGGTTTTGTGTGCATGTGTCTGTCCAAACGGTTCTTAAAAACACTAGCTGGCATATTTTGTTACTTGAGTTTTCAGGATACTCCTTCAGCAGCAAAATCACCTATATCAGTGAGGGACACGATGTCAGTGTTTGGGATTGGGCTCATGTCCTTTCGTAAATGAACTTGAGTTCCTACAGCATCCTGACTGGAGGGGTAAGAGGCTGGTTCAATATAGGGTGGGTTGTCCACAGCTTCAGCATATTTGTAGTCCTGCTGGCCATCTTCAGGTAGTTCAGCTGCTTCTCCTGGTGCAGCTGGCATTAACCAGGTAGGTTCAGAGAGCTGAGAAGGTGACTTCAGCACTGCTAGAGATGAAGCTGGTAAAGGCAGCACTCTAGGGTAGGAGGCATAGGGTGAATTCATAATTTCTGAAGAGGGGGGCTGGTACAAGTTCCCTTCCAAGGAAGGGACTGATACTTGAACGTACTTGCCAGTTTCTGGGTCATAAAATGTCTTTAAATTAACTTCAGCTGGTAAATCAACTACATAGTATTGGCCAGAATCAGGGTCTTGGAGGAGTTTACGCTGGGTTAAAGAGGGTGAAGGGCTTACTGCTGATGCACCACTGGGTCTTCCAGTACTGGTTTCTATGGGAGTAACAGTTGAGTGAGGGACAGGATGAAGAGGAGAATATCCCAAGGCTGAAGGAGAGGCTAGTGTCTCTCCAGCATGAGAAGACTTTCTCCCTACAGCATCCGTATGCTCAGTCTGATGTATTTTCTGCTGTTCTTGCATTTTCTTTCTCCTGCTTGCCAGCTTTTTGGCCCGCCGCAGAGCCTTTTCTGTTTTTGGTGGCACAGCAGGAGGCTTGCCTGCTGCTCTGTCCCCAAGTCCCCTGGGCTCCATTCTCTCAGCTGCCCCTGCAGAAGCAGAAGAAAGATTCCTCTGTGCCAAATCAAGGATCTCTTCTGCAGACATGTCAGCATGGCTCTTTAGTGCCATATTTAGCAAGACAGGGTTTATAACATCCTCTCTGTCTCTTGCTGGCTTGTCTGATGATACACTGGCAGCAATAGAGTGTGTCGTGCTGCCTGACCTGGGGCTTGCAACAGCAGAGCATGCAAGACTGTCTAACAAAACTTGTGCACCTTCCATATGTAGGTTGTCCTCTAAAGCTTCATGCGATACAGGAGAAGATGTGTGGTCCTCTGATACAGAGCCAGTCACAGGGGAAATGTTCTCCTTAGTGATTATTTTTTTTGCACAAGAGCCACCTCTGCGATTAGATAAATGATGATTCTTAAAGTAATTTGTCTTTCTTTCTGCAGAGCAGCTGGGGTTGCTTTGTGCTTGGTCATTTTCCAGACCTAAATTTGGCTGTGTTAAGCTGTGTCTTGCCTCCCTAGTCTGGGACTTCTCTTTCCTTCCACAGACACTTTCCTCATTCATTTTCCCAACTTTATTTAACAAAGCTTGAGTCTCTTCACCCTTTGTCAGCTTCCCTAATGAAAGGTTCTCTCTATCTTCCAGAATACTGGGATCCAGTGTTGCTGAAGTAGATTCACGCTCACTGGTCTGTTTCCCTCTGTCAGTTCCTTCATCCCTCATATTCTGCTGCCCTCTGCCCTTCAGTGCCGACCAGCCTAACTCTTGGGCATGCAACATATTTCGGTGCTGCTTGCTGCGCACTGCTGGGGGCACAAACCTACCTTCCATTTCCTTATAACTGCTGCTCATTGTATCATCCAGGGAAAAGGACCTGAACAGTGGCAGCTTGACAGCCCTTATTACCTGAGGTGACCTGAATGTGTTATCTTTAATCATAAACAAACTGGGTTTTGTTGAGCTTGAAGAGGGGGGTGTTTGAGGCTCCTCAGACCTGGGGATAGACATGTCCCTTGTACTGCCAGAAGCAGAATCAATGCTGTTGGTCTCTTCCCTTTTCTCTCTCCTTAGTTTCTCTTTCATCAAGCTTCCCTGCTCATTTCCAATAATCTCACTGTCCTTTTCTGCTGCACCAGTACCAGAGCTGACACAAGCATAATACTGCAGTTCATCTTCCCCAGACTCTTTCCCTCTCTCCTTGTGTCTTTTTTTACTGTCGACACCCACTTCACTCTCAGTCTTCTGACTTTCTTGAAGGCATGCCTTCTGCAGCAGGAGCACTGGTGGAAATGGCTCCTCCTGAAGTGGCTGCTCTACTGTGGAGACAAAAGATTGCTCTGAAGAGCTACTGCTCCTTTTCCCTTGTGCTTCACAGCCAGTTATCAACTGGATAGTTTGGATGTCACTGTATGGCACATCCTCTGCTGGTGACAGTTGGTTTGGGAGCATTTTGAAGGCAAATTCTTCATTCCGATTAGCAGCCTGTCTCTCGTTTTCCTCACCCTGGACACTGGGATTTTGAATGGACTGCCCAGCTGTTGTATCTGCATTGTCTTTACTGAATGGTTTCAGTCCTGGATACTGCAGAAATTTCCTTAAATCAGATTCATTTGATTCATGTCTGAACAAGGAGAAGTTTTCATTATGCTCTGTATTTTTAATCAGATCTTTGTGCTTTGAATCATCTTCCTGCAAGTTGTCTCCAGTTTGGTAAGAGAAAAGGTCTGCTGTTGTCTGGTGTGAACTCAAAGTCAGGTAACTGTCTGTAAACTGTCCAGTTAAATCAGTTTTATTGTCCTTTTCATGAACACTGCCAGACAATACAGAGGTTATATCATCCTGCTCTGCAATATTTTTGCAACTATTTTCTTGTAAAGTCGAGAGTGAGACATTCGTATTTGTACTCTCCTGTGTACTTTGCCTAGTTTTATTTTTCTCCTCCAAGGCCCTTAACAAGGGAGAAGGGGTATAAAGGCTTTTAACACGTTTGCGCACATCCCTCAAGTTGAACAACAGACTTGATGCTCTCAATTTGCAACTATCCTGAGACCTGTAATCACCAAACATGCTCCCCTCTTGGTCTGTTGCTGCTGCACTTTCAATGGGAGGAGTTGTCAGTGGGATCAGCTCATTTTCCAGAAGGTCTACCTCCTGTTTTGGTGGTATGATGGGAGTTAAGAGTTCAGTGATGTTGAAAGAGGGACCGATGGATCCAGAGTTTACCTGTTTAGCCAGAGGAGTCACAACCGGTTCAGCTTCAGCACCAGTTGCCTTTTCAGACAATGTCTCATGACTGGCTGTGAACTTCTCATTTGAAGTCTGGCTCTTTTCTGCTGCCATTTTTGTAGCCCTCTGTCTTCTCCAGGGTGGACAGGTATTGCCCAGCTGGGGACTGAGGGCCTCCTCTTTAGTTAAGATTGCCTGGGGTCTTGGTGGAAGTGAGCCAGGTGCCTGTGAGATGAGTGAGGGTGAAACCATCCCGTAGGATACGGTTTGGGGTGAAGCAGAGGCTTGGGACATGGCAAGGGGAGAAAGCCGAGCTGGCACTGGGGGTGGTGGCACAGGAGGGGCTTCAGGAGTAGGGGGTGTTGGAGGATGTCCCTGATGGGTGGAGGGTGAAAGAGAAAGTTCCTGCTGGACAGGGGGTGGCCGAGGAGGACCCTGATATGCATGGATCCTAGGGGGGGGTGTGGGAGGAAGAACCGCAGGAAATTCAGTTTCTGAAGAGAGAGGACCCTGAGGTATGTGTACAGCTGGGAGGTGGATGCTGAAAGTAGCTTCTGGTGGAGTTGGCTCAGTCTGAAAATCTTTCTCCTTCTTCTTAGCAACAGTGATCTTGAATTTATGTTCTTGTATGTGGGATCCTTTAATAAATGGTCTTTCTTCCAGGTATGCAAGACCTTCATTTCTTGTTTTTACATCAACAAATTTCTCCTTTTCAGTCAGTTTTTTATGAACATTCCATGATTCAAAAGCACTATTTTCACTATGAAGAAAATTACATTTTTTTGCTGGCTCATTAACTTTCACACTTCTGGTTTTTAAATCCCTTTTAGATGAGCGGGAAAAATTTGACTTGGCTACTTTTGACATCTCAATCAACACAGGATAATAACCATCAGAGTCACAATAATTCAGGTCTATGTTATTAAGTCTTTCCTGTGGCTCTTGTTTGCCACTGAGACAGTGGGCATCTTGACAAGCCTCTGAAAATTCAGAAACTTCCTTATCGACACTTAAAATATCTGTGTCATCCCAGCAGGCTATATCATTTCCATGATTTAATTTACATTTTTGAAAGCTGTTTGTAATGGGTTGTTTAAGGGCTATCAGGGAACCTTCTGACCCTTGGTCTGCAGTCTTATCAAATGTCTTAATTAATGAGGACACTTTTGAAACATGTTTATTGTTCCTTGGACCAGGGACTGATAAATTCAGCTTTTTCCTTTCTGTAGCAAAGGTGTTATTTTTAGCAATTTTTTTCTCCTCTGGAGCACATTTTGGTAACTGCTGGAATGTTGAAGCCCTTATTGTATGTTCATTGTTTATGGGTGGTGGCTTCTTACAGATGTTGCTTTTCTTGATGGTATGGTTCAATGTCCCTGGGTGAAATTTAGCAGAGAACTGGAGGGCAAAGTCAGGTGAAATGGCAAGATCTGGTTCATTGTAGGAGTCTTCGAGTTCTGCCACACACAAGCTTTTGAAAGCCCGGTCTGTGAGACTGCTCACCTCTCTGTCTGCGTCATCCAGGAGACTCCCAATACTTGAGGAGTCACTATGTCCTTCTGTATATTTCTTATTTCCCTGCATTGTTCCTGGGAGTCATGAATTAATTATCCAAAGGTTGAATTTCAGGTGTCAAATAGGCAGCTGAATTGTGTTGGGTGGTTGCAGCTGTTTGCAATTCACAAGCGCAAAGCAGTTCCTCCAAATGCTGCTGGACATCCATTCATCTTACAGAACAGCTGAAGGAAACTTTCTTCTCTGTAAAGCCAAAAATTATAAATTATCATTTCCTATATTAGCACTATTAGCGTTTTCCAGATATATCAGTCACCAATCAATTTGCTTTTACATGTATTTTAAGCAAGATGCTAGCAACACAATAAACAATATGAAAAATAATGGTTATTTTTGTCAATTCCAGTAGACTATGGTAGAGAGCTTAATTTCTGAAAAAAATGCCATTAAAAAAAGTGATTTCACCTCAGATTATTTGCTTGGGTTCTTAAACAAGGATATAAGAGCCAAATTTCAAGTACTTCCTTTTCCATACCTGCAAACCATAAACACTTCCAAGTGCTGTGCATATGTTTAGCTGAGAAGGTTAGCTGTCTTTGGCCAGGAAGAGTTAGTAATAAAAAGGGAAAAAAACTTACTTAATGAAAGAAAAAATGCTAAAACTTACTTGGCAAGACATAATAATTCAAAGTTAAAATATGTTGTGAAAAATAAAGTTGTTATAGAAGACTTTATTCTCATTTGTCTATTAGCTCATGACTGTGGGAAATGAAGTCTATAAAGATGAATCTGCTTATATTCAGGCTGGAGCTTTGCTGTGCCAATTACCCTGAGCAGAACCCTTGTTTGAGAAAGCAGAGTGGTAGAACAGGTAAAGAGGATTTACGGAGCATCAGCATGTTCCAGGCAAACATCGTGGGGTAAAATCCTTTAGCCACCCATATCCAGATACGATTGCCTGATGCAGTGAAAGTGAAGAGGCTGCTAATATCAGCTTAGCCAGCAGAAGGCAGGAGTGCCTAGGGGACTCCAGCAGACCCACTAAAGGATCACAGGGAACATTTGGTTTCCGTTCCAGAACTGCTGAGAGCAAAAGGTAACCCATTCAACAAAATTATAAAACATCACAGCCTTCCCTCATTCCCTGATTACAATGCACAGTAAGGGCCCAAAGCACTGTTCTTTTTTTTACTATGTCCACATCAGTCTGAAGACAGGATAGGAGAATCTTTGGATGGAACAGGTATAAGCAAAATAGACTTTTTTTCAGCTATGCTTGAAATCTATACACTAAAACTCTTTAAAGTTTCTGTGTAATCTCTTTAGATGCTTATTCTTACATTCAAGGGCTTGAGGAGGTAATTGACTAAACTACAGTGAGATTCAGCTTAAAAGCATATTCAAGAGCTAGCTAAAAGGAAAGTCCTTTTAGATTCCTTGAGGAAAGTGATCTGTATCTCCATTTCCAAGTACAATTGAATCATTAACTTGTGATGAGCTGAAATACTATGGTTCACATCTACAGCAGCTTCCAGCTTCTATACAGGTGGAAGCTGTCTCCATCACTGTAGAACTGAGAATGACATCCAGACCCAGATTTCAGCCCCTCCATCTGTTTAAATCCATTATTCCATTTTGGTTAATCTCAGTGAGACTCTTAGAAAGGGCATGCTTTTTCCCATGATGACTTAGTGCCAGTTGAAGAAAAGTCAGAGGAACTGGACTTAATCAGCTGAGTTTTGAGTTTCAGTCATTTCTTCAAATGAAACAAACTCTTCACCTTCCTTTTCCATTAAAAAACACCCCCAGCCAACCTATTTTTAGACTCAAAGTATCAGAGTGAATCTTAATTCTGTCCTTCCAGCCATACAACTCTAATGACTTATGAAGAAACTACACCAGATTTACACCAGATGTAACATGAGCTTAATAGAGCTTCTCTATTTATGCTGTAAAAAGACTTCTCAAAAGTGAGTTTCACTCCCCCCACCACAATTCCATATTTCTGTACAGTGCAGCAAGAAAAAAAAAAGAGAAAACTAATGAAAGGCCATCCCTCTCTTGGCTTGATTCTTAACTGTTGTATGAGTGGGAAGTACAGGTACATACCTGCCACATAATTTTGCTTCTCATCTTTAGAACTCCTTGTCATGCTTGTATTTGGCTTCATTTTTGACCATCTTTAGTGAGAAAGTAGAAATTGTCTGGTGACGTAGGTTTGACAGAAGCAGTATCCTGGGATGTTTCCAACCCTCAGCATTTTTTGATCTTAAATGAACCCTGCAATTTAAAAACAAAGACATTTGTTTGCATGATCTGAAGATTGCCCTGTGATGAATTAATTAATTTGTTCATTCACATTTTACAATTATTTTAGGAATTATTTACAAGATTTCTTACCATAAGAGACAGGTATCCATCCCAGAGTGATAATAACCAAATACCTTGAAGGTAGTGTAGTGCAGTCAGGTTCCTAGCAAACTATCACAACCTCCACCACTCCCTGTCAGACCCAGAAGGGACTAACAGCTGAGTGAGCAACGGTTTCCTGGCAGTCTGCCCACGCTGGATGACATCTCCAGGCTAAAAGGAGGGGTTGTTCCAGACGACTTCTTCCCTGTTCATTCCT